TTTATTTTGATCTTCCTTACACAGTCATAAAAATATGTAATGTTTCTAAAATGTTTCCTCAAATGCTGTTTTGGCTTACTGCATGCAGTGAGGTCATAAGATGAACCCCTTAATACAGATTGTAAGGGATTTTTTTTTTTTGTTCTACCATTTTTGTTATAAGTTTTCTTTTACAGGTGTAATATATTTTAATTGTAACACTTTTTGTTCATCCCAAGTTTCCTGAGCAGAGAGTCTCTGTGAGCATGCTTAGGGCAGCTGAATAGAAAGGTACTCACGTATGCTCGGCAGTATGGGACTCTCCACAGAAAAGCCCAGCCGCCGAAATGGCCCACATGTACTTGCCGCAAGCAGTGTGGTTAAGGAAATGGCTCAGAGGATATGGTGCTTTTAGCTGGGTAGGTCTTGGTGACATACCTGACCTGGCAGACCCTCCTTTGTGAGAACGATGAAATGCTGAGCCTTCCAGGGCTCCACGCAGTCCTGAGGACTGTCACAGACATAAGACGTACTCCACACAGGGCTTTCTGGGCCCTGCTTCGGCTTGTGCCATAGAGAGGGTTCAGTGATGGCTGCTCTTGTCCTTCTTAACAGGGTGCCAATTATCTCTGCCCAAGGGTGAAGGAACTCTGAATATCCTCCTTCTCAGTGGGTTTTCAAAGGACAGGCGCTTCTCAGCAGTTTTTCTGTTCCTTTTCTGTTCCTCTATGAGTCTTCAGATTGACACGAACATTCAAGTGGCCTTTCGTTGTTTTTCCCCTTGCTGAAATCCATTAGTCTCCTGTTTTGTAATTTGATTGACAGGTAACAAATGAGTGCTTTTTCTTCAGGAGATGAGCTGTTCTTCTAAAGAATTGAAATAATTGCCCATAACACCAAGTTGTGAAACCCTGGTGTCACAATGAGAACTGGGGGGGGTGGAGGGTGGGGGTGGGCAGAAATGACGTGGTGACAGATATGTCTAAGGAGCTAATGTGAATGTGGACAGAATTGGAGGAGAGTGGTTATTAATAAAGCAAGTTCCCTATTCAGTTAGAAATTATGTAAAAGAGAAACAAACCCTCCCCATTTCTAGAATATCAGTAATACTCGTGTTACTGTGGAGATAAGTAGGTAAGTGAGGATGTGATATTGAAACTTGCCAGTCACACTCAAGGGCTTGGAGGGATTCATGCTTACTCTACTCCTGTGACATTTGTGCCACTGTTACAGCCCTGGCTGGCTTTGCCATGTCATTCACTGGTGTGAGACTGGTGTCCCTTCTCCCTCCGGCAGCCTGTACGGCACTTTCCCATACTGTGAGAGCTGGCCCCGAGGGAAGGAACTTCACGTCAGTACTAGTTCGATTCATCTGTGTTCTCAGGTGTGTGGTGTCTTCGGCGGCAGGGTCTTACCAAAAGTAGAGTGTAAAAAGTTCTCAGAGAAATATATATATATGAAAAGAACTCCTGCTGAGAGTTTGGCATTACCGCTTGGGTAGTTACTTGACCGCCAAATGTGGTACTAGCCGGGGAATTTAGTTAATTTGGAGGGTCTACTTATTTATAAGAAAATGTAATTCATGATTATGCTTTCTCTGTATTCCACTTAAAATATAAACTAGGAGTTCGGGTGTATGCCAGGCAAATTTGTATTGTCATGTCCTTGGACAGCATGCTGGGAATCTCTAATTACGTTAGAAATTATTTTCTTACCCCTGCGTTTTACTCATTAATATTCTACATATTTAGTTTTTTTAAATAGATTCTTGGCGCAATAATTACATAATCACTCAATACAGTAGAAACATCATTATGGTCAAATACTAATTATCTACTTAAATGAAACAAAACAAAACCTAGTTCACAGCTTACTGTATAACGTGATTTCAGAAGGTACAAAACCAAATATATGCTTAAAACTGTAATTAAGTGTGATTCATTTTTTTTTTTTCAGATTTTCTGTGGAAAGGAATTAGTGTTCTGGGTGTATATTAATCTGTGGCTTCAGCTTCTGTATCACATCCTTCATGAGCACTCTGTCCAGAGTCCTGACCAGCAGGTTTCCAAGCTCAGTGTACTTCTGGTTACTGGGGCTGCACCAGGCCTGTGCGGCCCTTCACATTCTCCCTTTGGAAGCCTCCGAAACTGTGGATTTTAGTTGTAAATTTTCACTTAGGGTGCTCTGGAATGTGTCACCTCAGCTGTCCTCCCTCAGTGCACTTTTGGAGTCTCATAGAGTCCCCTTGGTGACACCAAATCCTGGCACTGTGATTGTCTGAGGATGTTTGGGGTCAGAGGACAGCCAGGCAAAAGCAAAATCTGTAACAATAAGGTTAATAGGGTTCAAACTGGTTGTCAAATTTGTCTGATAAATCTGTCGGATGCCCCTCTCCAGCCTCCACAGTGACCCCTCTCCAGGCTCACACTAACCTCTCCCCAGGCTCACATTGACCCCTCTCCAGGCTCACATTGACCCCTCTCCAGCCTCCACAGTGACCCCTCCCCAGGCTCACACTGACCCCTCTCCAGGCTCACACTAACCCCTCTCCAGCCTCCATAGTGACCTCTCCCCAGGCTCACACTGACCCCCTCTCCAGGCTCACACTAACCCCTCCCCAGGCTCACACTGACCCCTCTCCAGGCTCACACTGACCCCTCTCCAGCCTCCACAGTGACCCCTCCCCAGGCTCACACTGACCCCCTCTCCAGGCTCACACTGACCCCTCCCCAGGCTCACACTGACCCCTCCCCAGGCTCACACTGACCCCTCCCCAGGCTCACACTGACCCCTCTCCAGGCTCACACTGACCCCTCCCCAGGCTCACACTGACCCCTCTCCAGACTCCACACTGATCCCTCTCCAGACTCCACACTGACCCCTCTCCAGACTCCATATTGACCCCTCCCCAGGCTCACACTGACCCCTCCCCAGGCTCACACTGACCCCTCTCCAGGCTCACACTGACCCCTCTCCAGACTCCACACTGACCCCTCCCCAGGCTCACACTGACCCCTCTCCAGGCTCACACTGACCCCTCTCCAGACTCCACACTGACCCCTCCCCAGGCTCACACTGACCCCTCTCCAGGCTCACACTGACCCCTCTCCAGGCTCACACTGACTTTCCTTGGAAATTGCTCCTTGGGCTAAGGCGGGGCTCTAATGAGTGGTAGGGTGTTTAGTGCTCTTTGTAAATAGGTTTGTGACTGGTGGTGGCTTCTTTCATCTGCTCTTGTCCATGTGTATGGACTACCAGTGAATCAGTGGAGACAGGGCTGTGAGTTAGGTCCTCTTGTCCTGGTGCGTAAACTCATCAGCCTTACAAGACTAGAGGCATTCTTGTGATTATGTCACCTGTAATATCCCAGAGTAATATTTAAGGCAAAAATACATCTCCTGTTAAGCAATTTATAAGTGAAATGCTTTATAAATTTTGTGCTTTGTCATCTTTGTTTCATTTTTTTCTTTCTATGTCCTTTATTTTGCCCTGTTAGGTACTTTATTTCTTAGTGAATGGCTTGTGATGTGTATGGAAATGAAGATGTACAGGAAACATGTATATGATGTAGTTGAACAAATAGATGCTATCTTGAGACTACTGTAGGTGTTATGTGTTAATGGGGAGGTGCTGACTACTCTAGGTATTATGTGTTAATGGGAGGTAGTGAGTACTCTAGATGTTATGTGTTAATGGGAGGTGGTGACTACTCTAGATGTTATGTGCTAATGGGGGGTGGCGACTATAGATGTTATGTATTAAAGGGGAGGTCATTGTTGCCGTTCCTGCAGTTAACACATTTTCTAGGAAAGTAAAATATTCTAGTGAATCCGTGAACAACATCAACCTCTGTCCTTTTTGAAATGTTGGTTTATTTGGAGACACTATGATGTAAATGAGCTGTAATGTAAGATCACAGCCATGCAGATCTCCCGAGGTCTGTCACGTGGTGGTGTGCATCATGTCTGCAACACTGAAGCAGCATCAGAGGGAGTTAGGATGAGGAAAGCAAAGATGTGAGTGCTTCAGTGGAGAATGATTTCAACGTCAGAGAACCCAGAGAGCCATGGGAAAGAGGAAGAAGGGCGTTAGATATCTTTTACAAATAGTTATGTCTGAAACCACAGTGAGCCTGTGCAGCATATTAAAGATTCCTCCAAAATAGCAGTTCATGTTTTGTTCATGCTAAGAATTGCATGTTGTTACAGATGTCAATGGAAGTTACTCTCATAGTTTTAATAATTTTCCTTTGTTTGAGTCCCCATCAAATCTTTTTTTCTCAATTGTATTGATCATGAAATTTTGGGCCTTCCTATAAGTAGATTTACTTTAAGTCAACTTGTTTTTATCCCAGAACCAAGTTTCTTGAGCATAGCAATGAGGGACCTCTCTATAGATATATGTGTGCATTATGAGATTTGCATGTATAATCATGCAGGCTACTCTGTTTCACCGATCAAAAGTGAGTGTCAGGTTTTTATTTGAAGTTAATTATGCCTAAATTGCAAAGACAAGTTACGATTTTTTTTTCATTTTTATTTTTAGTCAATACAATGAGCCAGAGACCAGAATATTCGAGTACTGATTCTTTTAGATAACTAAAATGATACTTACGTGTCATTTGGGGGATATAGAAAATGTTTAATATGCACATTAATGTGACGCATCAGTAGACTATTTTGATCATGTACTGTGTGGTATTTGTTGTGAGGAAATGCCACTCTTGGTGAATTCTCTCAGAATGATCCTTCTCATTCGTCCCTCTGTGTTTTCTTTTGTTGTTGTTTGGTTGATTGGCTTTTGAGACAGGGTTTCTCTGTGTAGCCCTGGCTGTCCTTGGAACCAGGCTGGGCTGGCCCCAAACTCAAATCCACCTGCCTTCTAGGTGCTGGGATTAAAGGCGTATGCCACCATGCCAGACCTCCCTGTACTTTCTATGGCTGGGAACTGAAGCCTTAGGAAGAGTGTCAGAGAAATGAAGGTGTTTTGAGATCGCAGTATTGACACAGCTGTCTTTGCAGGTACCTCGTGGTCTACAACCCTTTTGAACAAGAGCGGGACGCAGTGGTGTCCATCTGTGTGAACTCCGCTACGGTGCAAGTGCTGTCTGATTCCGGAAAGCCTGTGGAGGTCCAAGTCAGTGCAGTCTGGAATAACGCGAGAACGATTTCACAAACAGCCTATGAGGTATGCGGTGGCCAGAGAACTAAAAGGACACCCGAAAAGATAAAAGGACAAAAAGGAAAGAGCGTGGTCAGGGTCCATTGTTTGTACCTGCATAATACCCACAGCATGCCCATCGAGCTGTCAAATTGGAATGATCTTCTAACACCAGAGGATGGAACTGGGTGGCCAAATGATACTAAAGGAAAATATTAGTATTTTTAGCAGGTGACATTTTACTAGTGGGAAGTGTATATCTTTCAAAGTATGCATATTTTAACTGGATTCTAAAGTAATAAATAATAAATTTTGGAATTTTGTATGTAACTCAATGATAATTATACACATGGACCTGAGATAAATGGCACAATTTTTAAATAGTAATGTTGGTTAGTCGTCATTTTTCATAGCAATGGTGACTTAATATGTCCTGGGAGAGAGACTTTTAACTAAGATTATTAAAATATCTTTTTTGGAGATTTAATTATGAAATTCAATCAATAGAGACTGTGTGTGAATATATCTCTCTCTGTGTGGTGTGGTGTGTGCCTCTGTGTGTGTGTAAATTTGTGTGTGTGTATGTGGGTGTCTCTGTGTTGTCTGTCTGTATGTCTGTGTATACATGGGGGGTCTCTGTATTGTCTTCATGTGTGTGTGTGTGTGTGTGTGTGTGTGTGTGTGTGTGTGTGTGTGTTAGATAAGCAGTTTTTAAATGAGCTCCATATCACTAGAAACGTTAAGTATTTGGAGTCTGGAGGTGATTTAAGTCCTTGCAGAGACGTGATGATAAGCTAGCAACTTAAGAGGGAGTTACTTCTGCTTTTCAAACACCATTGCTGGTGCAGCTCAGATAATCTTTGTCCTGAAAATAAAATGGGAAGTAGAGTCCACACTAGGCCAGAAATGACAGCCTACCTCAAAAGTGAAAACAGCTCTCCAAAGACAGGCCAGCTCACACAGTTCCTCCTCCAGACCTTGCTCTGTGCCCACTAGCTCCAGGACAGCTTGTGATGTCTAGTGCTGACTGAACTGATTATGTTATATTTATATAACTACACTGATCTTTTTAATGTACTGAAATATAGCATTACAAAAGGACTTCTGATAATTAGGAAGAAAACATTGTTTGCATTAAGTCCTTACCTTCCTGGAGAATTTCTGCCTCCAGGTATCTGTTCAGAACACTATGGCACATTTGAAGGATGATCATATAATTTCATAGGAGAGATGAAAACACTAATGCCTTTGGTAAGCCTTCCAACCTGAGGTGACTAGATTCCTGGATGAGCTGTGGTGTGGACAATCTGATCAAGCTTCTAAAGCATTTATACAATAATAGTATGTCATGTTTTACCACAAATATAAATGTTTTCCCTTGAATAGATAACTTTTCTCTATAATAACCCCATCTCCTGTCTTTAAAGGTTTCCTTTCTGGCTCATACACCACCGCTGGGAATGAAAGTGTACAAGATCTTAGAATCTCAGAGTCCAAGTTCACACATGGCTGATTATGTCCTGTATAATGATGTACTAGCAGAAAATGGAATATTCCACATGAAGAACATGATAGATGCGAAGGATGCCATAACTATAGAGAACCCCTTCCTTGCAGTCTGGTTTGACCGATCTGGGCTTATGGAGGTATGTTCTCAATAGTTGTGACAACCATAGAGAGGTTATTGTGTTTACTACGTGTGTCCATGACTATGCAGATGGGGCAGTCCTCTAACCCAGGGCTGCAGCAGACCCTCTGGGAGACAGGATTGGTGAGCTGCTGCCCCCTACCTTCTGTGGGTGTGCTGCTCATAGTGTGGTGTGCAGAGGTGCCGCTGATCCGTTAGGTAAGTGGTGAGTGTTCAAAGTGCTTATGGAAACTTGGGAAAGAAGTTTAACAGAGTGTCTCTATTGAGTTTTCTTCAAACTAATTCTCATTTGTAGTTCACTTTCAGTATGTTTTAAGCTGGCTCGTGCATTTGACAGTTAAGCAGGTCCCCTTCTATAGAAAGTGTGCGAAGCTTGAGTCTAAGCTCCTTGTTCCTTGCTGAAGTATACTGCAACTTTTTGTTCGATTTGAAGGCTTTAAAATCTGAGGCTAACTATAAAATTTTCATGCTCAGCCAAATATCTCAAATGTTAGAGGCTTACTTCAGCAATTTTTAGTCCCACACCACTCTTTTTTTTTTTTTTTTTTTTTTTTTTTTTCTGGGACAGGGTGAGACTGTGTAGCTCAGGCTTGCCTGGAACGCATTATTAAACTCAGGCTAACCTTAATCTTATATAATCCTTCTACTTTAGCCTTCCAAAATACATGAGCATTGAAAAAATTTTAGGTGTATATTTTGTCTTCTTATATGTGTGTGTGTGTACCTGGGTACCTGGTGCCTGAGGCGGTCAGGTGGGCATCTGATACCCAAGAACTGGAGTAACAGCCAGCTGTGAGCTGCCATGTGGGTGCTAGGAACCAAACCCAGGTCCTCTGCACGAGTGACTGCCCCTAACCATTGAGCCATCTCCCTAACCCAACCTGAGCATTTTTAACCTGTCCTGGTAGATTTTAGTGTCTTTTATTTTGCGCATATCCACAGTCCCCGTTTTCAGTTTTGTCTTAACTGCCTTTATAGAATTTTGATTTTCATCCTTAACTCAATCTGATGGCATTTTGGTAACGAATTGCTGTCTTTGTTTTTATTTTGTGTTCTGATCCTTAGAAAGTGAGAATGAAAGAGGACGGTAAGCACCATGAAATAAAGGTGCAGTTCCTATGGTATGGCACCACAAACAAGAGAGACAAAAGTGGTGCCTATCTCTTCTTGCCTGATGGGCAGGGCCAGGTGAGTGTCACTACAGAGACGGGTCGTTTGCATGTTTATTGGAACAGTGCTTGCTGCTGGGTGGTGGCGCACGCCCTTAATCCCAGCACCCAGGAGGCAGAGGCAGGCAGATCTCTATGACCTAGAGGCCAGCCTGGTCTACAGAAAGAGTTCCAGGACAGCCAGAGATACACAGAAAAACCCTGTCTCAAAAAAGAAGAAAAAAAAAAAAAGGAAGGGAGGGAGGGAGGGAGGGAGGGAGGGTGCTAAGGACAAAGACTAGCATGTCTCACTAGTTTATCATTGGGGGTGGATCAGCTCTTGGTTGGTAGTTTGTACTTGGATGTTAGATGTGTCAGAGCTGGAATTCAGTTAGGAAGGCACAAAGAATGAGTGTTCTCCATGAAGGAAGCAAATCTAGTCCTGGCCCTGAGTGAGGTGATTTGAGGAACTGTGTAGCTGTGTTACAGTGTGCGTGTAGAGACACAAAGTGGGCTGGAGAGATGGCTCAGAGGTTAAGAACACTGGCTGTTCTTCCAGAGATCCTGAGTTCAATTCCCAGCACCCACATGGTCCCTCTTCTGGCCTGCAGGCATATATGCAAAAAGAACATTGTATACATAATAAATAAATAAATCTTTTAAAAAAAAAAGTACCTAGCTCTGTGGGGAAAGTTGTTCACTGGATAACTTCTCTCTATCCTTTTGGGATTTAATAAACAGGGTTTTTTTTTTTCTACTTTTGAATATAAAAGCAATACATACAGAGTCTGGCACATTTTGAAAATGTAGCTAATGTGAGAAAAACTGTGAAATAATGGTAATCTGCAGCCCCATGAAAACCACTGCCAACATTTGGACATGTCTTTGATCTTTGATTTGGGGCATTATTCATACACCCCCGTTTTCAGCATGGTTTTATTGCCTTTACATAGTTTGGTTTTCATTCTTAACTCAGTCTGAGGCAGGCTCTTTGGAAGTGTAATCCTCACACTGGCTCTTGGGTTTCAGAATCTCCTAATGCTGCATATCCACTTTGTCCCACTTCCTCCTGACAGTGACCTTGTAGCTTTCCCTGTAGCATCTTTACATACAGTTCTGACTATTTCCTGAGAAGCTGAGCAGAGACATTGTGGGTCAGTGTCGGAAGCAAATCTCTAAGGTTTTTTTTTGTTGTTTTGTTTTTCGAGACAGAGTTTCTTTGTGTAGCTTTGCGCCTTTCCTGGAACTCACTTGGTAGCCCAGGCTGGCCTCGAACTCACAGAGATCCGCCTGGCTCTGCCTCCCGAGTGCTGGGATTAAAGGCGTGTGCCACCACGCCCGGCTTTTTTTTTTTTTTAGCCTGTTGATTCTCTTGCCTCTGGAAAGACTGTACAAAAGTTCATTTCCACCATGTTTTGGTCCCTTTCCCAAGCTCCAAGAATTAGCCCTATGAAAAGTGTCGCCTGTACCAATGCTTTTTCCATTGCCTCTGTGCCTTCGTGTTTCTCTACTTAAGAGGAGTTACTCTCCTTAACGCTTTGTGGCCCACTGACTAATCTTCTGAGAAAGTCATCTTTTCTTCTACAATTTAGAGAAGCTGCCCACTAACATGATTAGATTTTTAGGGATATATAGGCCACCCTAAGGTAGATTGTTTGTTGGTTTATGTTCAAGCCAGTGAAAATTTGTAGGTAAGTAATAGCTTTTAGGACCTATTCCAGAAGTGGCAGAGAATCTTACTTCTATTGGATGTGCCTCACTTCATAGTTTTTTCATTGGATAGTTATTGGTTCAGAGTCTTTTTTGTCTTGATTTAATTTCTTTCTCTCTCTCTCTCTCTCTCTCTCTCTCTCTCTTAGGCCAATCAACTTGTAAGCATTTACAAATGCAGGCTTTATAATTTTTTGTAAGGAAAAAAATCTTACCTTTTGTTCATTGTTTATATCCTGTGTATTCTGATAAGCTGTAAGATTTTCATGTCAAGTTATGGATATTGAGTTGTGTGGATTTGTTAAAACATTTTGGCAAAGTTTAGAAACCAAAGTGTTTTTGCTAAACGTGTCCTTTCCTCTTCAGCCATATGTTTATCAACGGCCACCCCTTGTCAGAGTGACACGTGGAAGGCTCTATTCAGAAGTGACCTGCTTCTTGGAACACGTGACTCATAAAGTCCGACTATACAACATACAGGGTAAGCAAACAGCACAGCTGTCAATCACAGAGACTTGGTGGTGGATTCTTTTTTTTTTTTTTAAAGATTTATGTATTTATTATGTATACAGTATTCTGCCTGCATTTGTCCATGTGGGCCAGAAGAGGGCACCAGATCTTATTACGGATGGTTGTGAGCCACCATGTGGTTGCTGGGAATTGAACTCAGGTCCTCTGGAAGAGTAGCCAATGCCCTTAACCTCTGAGCCATCTCTCCAGCCCGTTGGTGGATTCTTAACTTTTCTTCCATCTTTTCACTGAGTTAGAAGTTGTTTTAGAGACAACTTAATCTTTTTAAATTGACTTTATGTCTACAGTATGACTTCTCATGTCATATTTACCTTTAGATAATGGGAATGATAAAGCATTCATCCTTCTGTATCAACCCCTTCCCCATTACCAATTGTCTTAGTTATGAGATTATCAGCACATAACTTTATTTTTAAGACCTGAAAGCAATTCAGTATTTAGGTGTGGTTTTATAAAATAGAATAATAGCATAGTTACTATGAGCGTCTACATGTGCGCACACACACACACACACACACACACACGTGCGCGCGCACACACACACATACACACACACACACACACACACACACACACACACACACACACACACACACACACCTCTGCCTCTTTAATGTAAAAGGCAGTTCTTTTGGTTCACATTTCTGTCTGTTCTCTTTCTTTAGCTAATTTCATGCAGTATCTTTGCTAATTAAAATGATGTGGAATAAGCTTTAATCATTTTATTTAATCATTTTAGGTGCTACTAAGCTCCTGAGTACTAGGCCATTGACCCGTCCTTTCTTGGAATATGGCTTGTTTTTTTCTTCCGGAGCCTTGCACTTGGGCAGTTATGCTGGTTTATTCTAAGTTCAGCACTTTTAGAATGGAGCGCTTTTCCAATCACAGATTTAATTCCTTTTTCCAGGTTACTTACCAGATCAACAACTATCTTAGAAAAGGTCCTTTAGGTCCACTTGAAGACTTACTGTTACCTAGGCTGAAAAAAATTAGGGAAGGGAAAATATTCCTGCCTTGACTTTTCATACAGATAGAAAATAAGGAATACCACCAACTAATGGTAAACTGCTAATAAGTATGGATTATTTATTATCTTTTATAGGGAAAAGACATCACAGTCACAGAATTTCTTACATACCCAATGCTCAACTTCTTGATTTCACTATCTAAACTTAATTTTGCTTTTATGTAATTATATAACTTCATATTTTATTATTTTTGCCTTTTTCTATGATATTAGACATTTTTTTTCCTCCTAGAACCTCTTGGTGATAACACAGTGTGTTTTCTAAGTAATCCATGGTTCCCGGGCTGAACCAGGACATCCTCTAGGGCTATGAAAACTAACAGTAGACATGAACGTTGTGCCTAAGTATGACTTCTGTGTTGCATAGAATGGCTTGTCTACCAACAGGAAAAGCCTGAAGTTATAAAATAGTCCTTTTTCAAGTTTCCCCAAACCTCCAGTAAGTCAGAACCATGGAGATGGGGCATTCCTTTGGGCCATTTTTAATAATTCACCCCGAATGCTCTAACATCACATTTTCAACTATTACCAGCTGTTTCATATTATAAGTAGAAAATAACATCATACATGGAAATATTCATCTGGTTTTAGTTTTACTTCCAGGCCTATAACCCAATTTACTTGAGAGGCTGAGTCAGGAGGATTGCAGGTTTGAACAAAGGCCAGGGCAAATGAGTGAGACCTTGTCTGAAAGTAGGGAAAGAAGGGTAGGGGTGTGGCCCAGAAGTGGGGCGGTTCCCTAGGTCCCTGCATGTGTGAGACCCTGGCTTCAGTCCTCAGCATTGCCTTCTCTATGAAAATATATTTTAGTAGCATGTATTAAATTGTATAAAGTAAAGGACTTCATTAGAACATTTCTATACTTCATATACTCTACTTTATCATATTCATCCTTTCTATTTCTCCTTGGTCCTTCTTTTCCTCCCACAGGAAGACTTCCCCCTGAGTGCAGCCTGGCACAGACCTGTGTCCAGTTTACCTTTGGTTTTCCATAGATGATGTTTCAGAATAATTACTGCAACATCACCTCTGAAATTCTAACCTCATTCAGATATATTTCCTTAGTTACTTTTGCTTTGATTAATCCTGCCCATCTGTGTCCCTGCACCTCCTGAGCTCTCCTTGGGTTCTCCGGGCCCCTGAAGTCCTGTGTCAGGATGGCCTGTGTAAGTAGATACGCCGCTTCCACTGCTGGGGACTGCAGCTTCGCCTGTTGTCATAGACCAGCAGCCGATTTGGAAATTAATCGACTCTGACCTGCCTGCTTCCTTCTGCCAAGAAACTCTGCTCATCAGAACTAAGTGGCTGTCATCTTTCCTCTCTTCTTTCCTCTCTTCCCACTCCTGGACACAGTCCTGTCCAGCCTGACTGGCAGCTCTGCAGCTGAAGCCAGGGCCTCTGAGGTCCCACTGGCTTCTGGCTTCCAGAGTGGCAGCTCTCGCTGACTAGGTTTCACCAGCAGTTAGTTGCTGGCTCTCTGTGGGGGTCCATGTCTGTTTGCTGGCTTTTCTTCTCTCTCTTTCCTGCTTTATTTTGTCCTTCTATTTCCTAGTGTTTCCTTCCCGGATTGTTCTTCCTGGCTCCCTTGTTCTGATTCAGGTGCATAGATTTTAGAGGTACTGCCCACGGGCAGGTGCCTCTCACCACCAAGCTGACCAGCCTTGAAAGCTGGGTTTTGACTGAGGCTCATCTTTCCTTAGCATTCATAACCTGTTCACTGTAGCTGCTAGATAAATATTTCTAAATCTAAGAGTAGACCTTCTTGCCAGTTCTTGAAGTCTCGCCTCTAGGGAATGGAGGTACTTTTAAAATACTTTAGTTAGTTAAGCAATGGAGAGCACTCTGACTAGTGCACAAACAGTATTGACATAGTTTCTAAAAATGCAAGCTCTGTTGCCTCTGGATTTCTCAATCGGTAGAGTACACTTGGGATGACACGTTTTTGTGCCAATATTAGATTTTTATAGCTTAAAAGCATGAAGGTTTCGAAATGTGTTTGAAATGACAGGTGAGGAGGTACGGTGTGAAGTTAACTGAGCCTGCTTTTCTGGATGAGTTTTATTCCAGTTGTCTGGATTAAACCCGAAGTCAGCAGATACAAATGCGAAGTGACGTATACATCTTGCATTCCCTCTAGCCCTGAGCAGTTATATTTATTTATTCTAACATGGAAGCAGTTGGGTGGGAGATGAGACACCTGGCTCATCGGAAGGCTTTCCTCCCAACCGTATCCCCTCCTGCATTTGTCCTCCTTTCAATGAGTTTGCCTCTTAGATTAGCCACGCCCAGGAGAGACTTCAGGCTGACCCTTTCCTCCCTGGTCTCTGCGACCCACTCCCATGTGACTGACTTCCTCTTCCATCACTTCCTGAGGCCTCATCACTTGGCTCTTGGCTCGTTGAGGTTGTCATTAAGTCACTCCCTCAGAAGGCTTGTGCTAGAAATGGGGCTCTTCAAGTAGATGATACCTGGGCATTTCAACTGTAGTGAGGTTCTAAGGTGTTTGGAATCACCCAAACGTTCTTAAATATGCTGCGGTTTGGCTTCCTGAGTAAACAGTTAGAAACTAATGAAAATGCACAGTTAAAGGTCAGTTTCCTATATAGAAAGACCTACAGGCAATGTCTACATTTTTGTAGACTGAATCTTAGCTTATAGGGTTTTTGTTTTTTTTCCTTCTCTGTGTAGCTTTGTGCCTTTCCTGGAATTCACTCTATAGCCCAGGCTGGCCTCAAACTCACAGAGATCCGCCTGGCTCTGCCTCCCGAGTGCTGGGATTAAAGGTGTGCGCCACCACTGCCTGGCAGCTTATAGTTCTTTTTTTTTTTTTCAGCTTATAGTTCTTAAAATACCAAAAATATTCCTTCTCAGATTTGACTTCCTGAGCTGTTTCTGTGTATGTGTTGATTCTGCCCTCTCCAGTGGCCCAGTGTTTAGTGGATAAGTGTTAATGAATGGAGCCTGTTTGTTATTGGTATCAAATTTCTTCTTAATTTTAATTTTTATCAGTATCTTATTTTTTAACATTTTATTTTAAATTTTGTATGTGTCCATGTGTGCACTCTCCCATGTGCACATACACACATGCACATGCATGCTGGTGCTTGCAGAGGCCAGAAGAGGGTGTTGGATCCTCTGGACCTGCTGTTCCAGGCTGAGAATAAGACTTGGGTCCTCTGCAAGAGCAATGTGTTCTCTTAACTGCTGAACCATCTCTCCAGCCCGTTTATTAAGATTTTAAGTAAGCGTGCAGAGTAATAATTTTCCTTATGGCATTTCATACAAGTACCAAATTTATGAGACAGGAAGTAATGGGATTATTAATATTGTGTGCTCATGAGCATGCCATTGTATTAGATTGATCCCTGCTAATTTTACAACAAAGTTTTTATTTTTAACAACATTGATAAATAGATAGTGAGTTAATATTGCAGATCATCTCTTAATTGATAGTCTATGTTAAGTATTCAATTCAATGAAATTGCCTTTGTAAAATCTGCAGACCTGACCAAACACCTCCCAGTCCTCAGTGTCTGTTCTATTTGCTTTTTGTTCCTTTTCCCCCTAAAGTAACTTTTGTCAAGAACATAAATCAAACAACACTTCCCAAATTTCGCAGACCAATTGGTCATTATTGATTGTGAAACCAACTGTGTTGAAAGGCCCTGGTACAGCCACCTGCTTTGGTATTGAACTGTGGTTTCTGTATTTGCATTCTCCACAGATTTGGAAAATAAATAGCTCAGTTGAAAGGCTCTTTCTTAATATCACTTAGCTATTCATAAATACCATATTTGAGGGCTGGAGAAATGGCTCAGTGATTAAGAACACTGGCTGTTCTTGCAGAGGACCCTAGTTCCATGACCAACACCCACATGGTGGCTCAGAACCATCCTTAACTCCAGTTGCTAGGGATCTCTTGT